TTTCTTGCTCTTTCTGGGTGTTGTTTTCTACTTTGTCCTCCAGCTCGCTAATCTGATCTTCTGCTTCATCGATCCTGCTTTTCATTCCTTCTTCTGTGTTCTTCAGTTCAGAAATTGTATTCTTCATTTCCTCTTGACCTTTGTTGAGAGTTTCTATTTCCTTTTTCATGTTTATATAGTTTGCAGTGAGATTGATATAGTTTCCCTCTAATTTCTGAAAGCTCATTGTGAGTTCATTGTACTTCCTGATAATCATTGTTTTGAACTCACTATCTGATAGTTTAGTTGCCTCTATTTCATTTAGCATTTTTCCTGAGGCTTCCTCTTTTCCCTTCAATTGGGGGTTGTTTTTTTGTTTTCTCATTGTTCGTGGGTTTCTTCTTTTTTCTTCTTGTTTCTTAAATTGATCTGTTCTGATTCCCTGTAATTATGGTGTGAACTTCTGTGGTAGAATATTTGTGAGATTCAGTGGTGCAATCGCCTTCGTGTGTCCTGGTGTTCACAGTTTCCCCCTACTCTTTTTTTGTGATCAGTTGGGGGAATAAGGCGAAATGGTTTAAAACAGCAAGACAATCTACTACTATGATAATTACATTAGCAGCCTGTAGCGAAGAGATGGGTTATCCTTTGGCTCCTCATACTGTTAACCGTGATCCTCCACCCCACTATCCACATTTTAGAAAGGATGGAAAGAGGGTAAGACTCTTATTGGGGATGAGAGGATTATTAGTTGTATCTAGAAAGCTGTGAGTCTGCTGGAGGTCAGATTATAAGGTAGGGTTGGATTAAAGATTAGTATACAGGAGTAGTGTGTAAAAGAATAGAGATAACCCCCACAATAGTATAGTTCAGAAAATTGCAAGGTGGGCTGAGATCAGGTAGGGGTATTGAGTAGTATTTACAATTGTATGGACTAGGTCTTATTAACAGTAATAGTAAAGTGATGGTCTCGTGGCAGAATTGATGAGATCTAGATAACAAGAATAAAGAGTTTAGAACCTTGAGAGGTGTATTACTGGAACACAGATGAAGAATAGTAAATTATTAACACATTGTGACTGAGATACCAGGAAGAACCTATCAAATGACAGTATAACCAGCCAAGCAAAGAAGATTATACAGAAAGAAAAAGGATACCAAAATATTATTAAAATAAAAAATGTCGGAAAAGTGAGAAAAAGATAGTACAAATTTACAGTAACTTGCAAGCTTGAAAAAAAGGAAAGAAAAGCAGAAGATGGAGTGCAGGAGAGATAGATTTGGAGTGGAAAGAATATTAGAATGAATGGAAGAGAAACATAAGGGATTGCGAGGTATAAAAATAATAAGAATTAAAAAATAAAATGTCACATAAAACTCAAGATAAAATCTATCAATCAACAACAGCCACAAAAACAAAGCAAAACCAAACCAAACAAAACAAAATAAGAAAAACCTCTTGTTGGTTTCTAACTGGCCAGACCAGTTTTTCTGATCTTGCTGGCTTCAGCTGGCTGAGGGACCTTTGAAATGCTTCTCTCTCTTCCCAGCCAGATCTCAGCAAGTCTCTCAGGAACCCTGGGTGCTCCCGAGCACACTCATTCTCTAGAGCTCACTGCCACGTTCTTCGGACTCCGGGGTCCTGAGGGTTCCAGCTCCATGATCTCAGAAGGCACCCCCGACATTTTGGAATTCACTGCGCCCTCCCTGGGAATCGTAAAAGCGCGCGGCCCTTCTGGTTTCACAGCGCGCAGGAGTCAGGCTTCCCGATAGAGCGTGCTACCCTTCTGGGTTCACAGCACGCGAGTCAGGCTTCCCGATGGGGCATGAGCAGAGCTCTTCCCAGCTCTTTGTTTTCCACCGGTCCCCACCCCTACCGGGCTAGGGGTGTTGGCGCCTTTCCCGACCAGGTGCGGTCGTGTTGGCTAGAGGCCCTCACTTCTCCCAGGTCTCTGGGTGGGTGTTCATAGTCCCTGGGCAATTTTTTCCCAGACCAACTGACCAATCTGTTCCTTCAAGCAACACATTCTCCCCTGGAGTTGCTCAACCCCAGTATTCAGGGGAGGGAGCAGCGACTCCCCTCTCCCAGGAGCCCTGTGGCAGACCCGGGAGCACCGGGCCTGGGGACTGCACACCCCTAGACCCCGCGCTGATCCCTGGGTCCCTTTTGTCCTGAAGCAGTCTCCTTACCATCTGGTTTTTCAGTGATCGCAATAATTTTTGATGTCCTGCTTTCAAAAGTTATTCAGTAACCTAGTCCACTTGCTCTGTTTCTCCACCGATCCACGAGTTTCCCTCCTCTTCACAGAAGCCGAGAAACACGCTGCCTAGAGTAAAGCCGCCATCTTCCCCCCATATTCCTTATTTTTTATATTGAATAGCTTTATTGAGATCTAATTGACACACAACAAACTGCACATATTTAAAATATATAATATGATAAGTTTTGACATATGTTTATACCCGTGAAACCATCACAGCAATCAAGATACTTAATATATCCACCACCCCCAAAGGTTTCCTCAGGCTCCCTTGTACTTTATCTTCCCATCTCCAGGCAACAACTGACCTGCTTTCTGTCAATATAGATTAGTTTGCATTTTCTAAAGTTTTATATAAATGAAATTGTATAAATACAGTATGTGACCACTTCATTTGGCTTTTCAGTCAGCATAGTGATTTTGAGATCCATCCATGTTGTTGTGTGTATCAGTACTTCATTCCTTCTTATTGTTGAGTAGTAGTCAATAGTATGGATGTACTAAAATTTGTTTATCAGTTCATCTGCTGATGGATATTTGGGTTGTTTTATGGTTTTTGGCTACTACAAAAAACAAAGGTTCTGCAAACATTCATGTAAAAGTCTTTGTATGACACATGCTTTCTTTTCCCTTGGGTAAATATTTAAGAATGGAATGGTTTTATCATATGGTAGATCTACCTCTCCTTAACTTCTTAAAGAAATTCCAGTATGATTTTCCAAAGTGGTTGTACCATTTCACATTCCCATCAGCCATATATGAGAGTCCAAGTTTCTCCACATCCTTATCAGCACCTGGTATTGTCAGTATTTTTCTTGTTTTAGTCATTCTAATAGTGTGCAGTGGTATTTCATTATGGTTTTCATTTGAATTTCCCTAATGACTATTTAAACATTTTTTCGTGTGCCTATTTGCCATCCTGCATCTTTTTGTGGTGAAGTGTCTGTTCAAATCTTTTGCCCACTTTTTAAAATGGGGTTTGTTTGTTTTCTTGTTATCAAGTTTTAAGAGTTATTTATGCATTCTAGACACAAGTTATTTGTTGCATATATTATTTATAGTTATTTTCTCCCAGTCTATGGCTTATCTTTTCAGTTTCTAGACAATGTATTTCACAGAGCAAAAGTTTGAACTTTGAAGTCTGATTTGTCAATTTGTTTTAGAATGGATTATGTTTGTGGTGTCACATCTAAGAAATCTTTCTCTAACCCAAGGTCACAAAGATTTTCTCATATCTGATTCTAGAAGTTTTATCATTTTAGATTTTACATTTAGGTCTGTAATTCATTTTGAGTTAACTTTTGTATGTGATACAAAGTACTAATCAAAAAAAGTTTTGTTTTTTTGCCTGTGGATATTTAGTTGTTCTAGCATTATTTGTTTAAAAGACTATTCTTTCTCCACTGAATTGCCTTTACACTTTTGTCAAAAATCAGTTGCCTATATGTATGTGAATCTATTTTTGAACCATCTTTTCTATTCCATTGATCTACCTGTTTATCTTTATGCCAACATCACAATCTTTGGATTACTGTAGCTTTAAAATAAGCCTTAAAATCAGGTAGTGTTTGTCCTCCAACTTTGTCCTACTTTTCAAAGTTGTTCTACCATTCTAGGCCCTTTGCATTTCCATGTGAACTTTACAATTCACTTATCAATTTCTGCCAAAAACCAGCTGGACTCTGACTGGGTTAAATTTATAGATAGATTTGGGGAGAATTAACATCTTAATAATATTGAGTCTTCAAACCCACGAACACAGTATATTTTTACATTTATTCATGTCTTCTTTAATTTTTCTCAGCAATGTTTTCTGGTTTTCAGTGTAAAGTTCTTTCACATATTTTGAGAGATGTATCCTTAGTTTTCTCATATTTTTGATGCTATGATAAACAGTTTTGATTTTAATTTCAATTCTAATTGGTATAAGCATGTAGAAATGTAATGGATTTTTATATGTTAATATTATATCCCACAACCCTGCTAACTCATTAGTTCCAGTAATTTTTTGTAGATTCCATTGGATTTTCTATGTAGACAATCATTGATGAAGCATTCCTTCTCCCCTTTCTCCTATGCTATAGTGATATCACCATGGCTCCCTAGTCCCTTCCTTAACTCATCCTGGTTCTACTTCAACATAATGGGCAACTGGTTTAACCAAGAGTGAATCTTTGATAGCTGGGACTCCAACCCTCAGAGTTTGGGAATTAGCATACCCTTGGCCATTAGCTCTAGCATACCCCTTTTAGGAAAGCATAAGCGAGACAGACTCATCAGTGCTTTTTGACCTTCAGACCCCAACAAACAGAATATCTGCCTCATCTCTGCAATCCATCTCTCATCCTAGGCTTCTGGGCCAGAGCTCTGTAGAGAGCCCCTCCCAATGTCTCTCTTCTTTTGTTCCCATCTGAGCTGGGGAGGGGGCAGTGAGTAAAAGCATGGAGGGGTTCTTATAAGAGGAGTAAATAGAGGAAGTATCACTTTTGCAGCAACCTAGATATTCTGCTCACTTATGCCAGTGTGTGAATCCATCACTAAGGAGAAAACCATTCAATATCTGCTGAATGAAGTAAATAGTATCTCTGAGACCTGAAGTTCCTCTGTTACCTCTCCCCTAAAGGCAGAACTTTTCTCTTCTCCTTGATCTAGAAGTCTCCCTGGCACTAGGATGCTTTTCTGTGATGGAATGGAGTAAATCGGTGGATGAGGAGGGGATGACTCCTTTAACTAACAGGTTTGGATTGTCCTGTCTCACAGAGCCGGAATGATGTTATCCGAGAACGCTTTGGAATGGACCCCAAGCCGGAGATGCTTTTGGGCCTGGCTGCCCTCCACATCTATATCACTGTTTCAGCCACTCGACCTAGTCAGAAGATTTCACTCAAGAATGTGGAGTGAGTTGTGTTGAGATCCTTTGGGATGGGGCCTACCTAAAGCTATGTAGGAAGAAGGTGGATTGTGTGAGTTGTGCTATACTTTTCAGGAATGTAGATCTGGGATGGGAGTGAGAATTGGCATTCCTCATACCTAGACCATGATGTCCTTGAGCTACAGCTTATACTGGGGAACTGTTGCCAGTGTTATTCTCCTTCTCCACCCTACCCAGTGATACAGACACCGGCCTGCAGTGTCCGCATCATTATGGATGAAATGAGACATTCACATGAACTACCGAGCCTGGTGGAGGAAAAGGGACAGCATGGCTTTTCTCTCAAGAGGAGCAAAAGCCACAGCCTCCACCATGACAGGCCTTTATTGGGTTTCTCCACCCATTACACAATGGTACTCATTTACTATGCACAGGTTCACTTTAGGTGGTTACCTTTTACAGAAAACAAAGGAGCCAATGCTGCTAATCACATCACAGAAGAGGAATATTTGAAAATGAAAAGGCAAAAGCAGTTGAACCAGTTACACTCATCCTTGGAAGATTTAGCATGGATTTTAGGAAGTTACTTTGCAGTAAATGTCCTCAATTCAGAGTGAGGAAGTTTTTCACAAAAAGCAAGACTCAAAGTGGCCTAAGGCTCATTGCAGGCCTGATTCCATGGGAGAACCTATCCATGGGCATGGGTCCTGTGCATCTTCAAGTGGGAGCTTGGCCCACACCACACAGAACAGTTTCCTGTACCCAGGCTTTCTCCCAGGGTTCATTCTTTTGTCTCTGCCTCTCAGATTCAGTCTGTTTCTGTCTTACCATCTTCCTTTCTCTGTTCCACTTTGTCTCTCTCATTAATTTCTTACTTTTCTTCTGCTTTTAGGAAGGAGTGGGGCCTGGAACCCTTTCTTCCCCCCTCCCTCCTGCAGGGCATCAAAGAGAAGAACCTCCGGAAATCTCTCTCTCAGCAACTGAAGGCTCACCAAACACATCCTTCCAGTGACACCAAGGTACCCAGAATACACCACTGAGCACCCTGTTCAGGCACTTTGGCAATGGGGGCTCCTGCATGGTTTCCAAGCAGGCCTGGCCTTCTGGGGATCCTCTCCACTGTTTTCAACTTGGGTACAATACAAGTTGGCTGGATATGGGGAAGGATTGTAGAGAGGGGATTTCCCCAAGCCTGAGCCTCCCTCAGGGGCAGCTCAGTGGCTAGTCACTGAGAAAGCCCAGGGTCCTCTGAATAAAGGGACGAAGATGCAGGAAGAGAAAATTTTCAGGTCATTTTACCCATTTAGGCAGTGCTGGTTAAGCATCTGCCATATGAACAGCACTAGACCCTGGGTAGCACATGTTTTCCATAAAAGTGACTGATCTTTCTCTCATTTCATTTCTGATTCATTAATCCTGGGACAGGGTATTTTGGGAGATAAAAACCCAGCCTGGTGATACAAGGTATGATTTGGAAAATGGGTCACTGGGTGGTATGTTGAGGACCCAGTTCACTGTTCTGCATTCCTGAACATTCTTGGGCACCCTCTGAGGACCCACACTCTCTGCTCCCCCAGTCCTGTATGCTCTTCTCATGCTTGTTAAGCTCAGTCTGCTTGTGCCTAGGAAGCAGGAGGGTGGTGAGAGGGACTGAAATCAGCTTGCAGATGTAGACACAAGACACTGTCACCTCCATTTACTCCACCTATTTCAGATTCCTTGCATTACTAACTAGCTTCTTTTTTTAAGATGCAAATTTCCCCTAAGAGTTAAGTCATTCATACTTTTCTGTGCATATTTAATCAGATTGTTTTCTTCCCAGCAGAGGAGAACATCAGTGCTCCCAACCATCTCCTCAGCAAACATTTTTTTGAGGCTCTCCAGTCCTTCAACTGGAGAATCAAAGTTGAAGAAGGCCTGGTTTCTAATCTCAGGTTGGGGAAAAGGCTATTGGGGAAGCACCAGTCAGTCACAACACAATGCAACAAGCATGGGACTCTGAAAGCATGCAGAAAGTACACCCAGCCCAAACTGAGGAAGGCAGAAAAGGCCAGGAATTGGTGCATTTGATGCCAGAGCTGAATCTTGATGGACAGACCATCAAGAGTTTGTCTAGATGAATTGGCAGGGGCAGGACTTTCCCATGGAGGGAGATCTGTTTGTACAAAGCCATCAGGACGTGAGAGAATGTGGTACATGAAAAGAAATGCAAATAAGTTACCATAAGCCAGGACAAAGAGTTCAAGGAACACTTCTGGGTCAGGGGAAAATAGGAGCAAGAGAGGAGGCTGAAGAAGTTGTCAGGAGCCAGTTCATGGAAGGTTTTGTGTGCTGTGGAAAGGGGTTATACTTCATCCTGTAGGGCAGCCAAGAGCCACTGAAGGGTGTTTAAGCAGGCAGCTGATGGGATTAATCTTATATTTTAGGATCTTCCTTATAAGCAGCATGGAGGGGTTGAGGAAAAGGAGTGTCAGTACTGAAGGTAACTTGGCTGCCACTCTGTTACAGGTGGGGGACATCAAGACAATGACCATGGGGCTAGAGAAGAGGGTTGGATAGACAGGAGTAGAATCAAGATGATTTGGTGACTAGTGGACTTCTCAGGTAAGAGGATGAGGGAGGAGTCCACCATGACTCCCAGGTTTCTAGCTGAAACCCCCAGGGGATGCTCCTGTTACTATTAGAGACTTTTGTATGAGTAAATGCTAGAGGAAGAGCAGGCTTGGGACTTAGGTGTGCTAAGGATCAAAGGTTTGGGATGGTTAGTACCTAGTGGCTACAGGGGATCTCAGGAGACAGGTATAAATGAAGTGGGGGTCTCGCAGTTGGAAAAAGGTGTGTAATTAACCCAAAAAATGAGTAAGCTGGATTCTTAAGGAATGAGGATCAGGAGGAAACAGAGGTTTTAAGAAGGGAGAGGGGATGCCAGAAGCAAGACCTGTCTGAACGGGAACCTTCCTGCAGTTCTCCAAGGGTTTCCTCACACTCCCACAGTGTGTCTTGCTGACTCTATCCTATCTTGAGATGTTGGCACTCCTTCCTGAGAACACAGGTTTGCTTTTGTGTGCCTCAAGTTTCTCATATTTTTGAGTGGATTGTTTCCACAGGGCTCCGCAATACAGGCAAAGCTCCAGTATCTTCGAATTCTGAATGAACTTCCAACCTTCACTGGCGTTTTGTTCAACACTGTGGGCCTGGTCAGTAAGGGCAGTGGGATTGGGTGGGAGGGAGCGCTCTGTGGGTGCTTTCCTTGGTTGGAGGGCAGGAAGGGCTCCATCGGAGCTTTAGGATGACACTTTATCTCAGCAAATATTTCTGAAGGTCTTCCCTCCTATTCCTCCTTCTTCTCCCTCTCCCCTCCCATGGTGTTCTGGTAAAATGGTAAAGTAGGAGGTGATTTTTGTTTTCACTATCCCTCCATGACCCTGTTTTGTCTCCTTTCCTCAATTCAGAAGTTGGCAAATTTTCCCATAAAGGGAAAGATAGTGAATATTTTAGGCTTTGCAGTTGGGCTATGCACATGTCACAAATACTCAGCCCTGCCATTGTAGCATGGAAGCAGCCATAGACAATATATAAATAAATGGGTATGGCTATGTTCCAATATTTATGGACACCAAACTGAGTTTCATGTAATTTTCACATGTCACAAAATATGTTTTTTTTTAATATTTTCCAACCATTTAAAAGTGTAAAAAAACATTCTTAGCTCATGGACCATATAAAAATTGGTGGTGGGCCAGACCCTTGCTCTGTTTCATTGCATTCCTTATAACCCCACAGGCCCCCACCCCAGGCTTCTTCAATCAGTATGTTTTCCTCTGCCTACCTAGGGCCTCCACTACAGCAACACTCTTGTCAAGAGGGGAACAGACTGCTGGTCCTCCTAAGACTGTGCCCCAGGCTAGTTTATCCTAGTGAACTAAGAGGAAAGGAAATTCAAATCATCTTGCTGACTGGATCCAAGTGCTTGTCATGCTCTGGGGAATAAACTGTCATGCTCATTGGGCACCAATGGAAAGGTGCTTATCAAAGTATCTACACGAGATAGAAGAGGTTCCTTGGGGGTCATGCTCACATCCTGGAATGGGCCAGCAGATGGCTCAGGCTTGATGGTGCCCAGGAGCCTGTCAGGATCACTTAAGGGAATTTAGTCCACCCAGCCCAGAAGTAGCCATTTACATACTAGGATTTGAGGATCACTGAAAACCCACTGCCCACTCCCTCCACCCCTCCCCCTCCACCCTGCCACTGCTGAAATTCTTATAGGCCATTCCTTTGGGTTAAGATTGATGTAGTGCCTATTAAAGGGCAAATATCTTCTTAGGGAGAGAGACCCCCCCATTAAGTGCCCCAGCAACCGTTAACACTTTAGACAGAGTTACTTTTTGTCTGTTTATCTTTTGGCAACCAGTGAGAAGTGAACATTTGAGTGGCTGTTTGTTGGGGTCGGGGGTTAGGGAATAAAGACCAAACACAGGATGCTACTTGTTCAAAGAGAGTACTGGGTGGATGCCTTGAGTGGCCTGCAACAACAAATGGAAAATTGGTGGGGCTTGATAGGAACAGGATGCTATAAAGGCACCAGAAAAAGCCTCACCTATTTCATGATTTTGCTACAGCCAGCTCTGCTGCTGCCCACTTCACTCAACATGCTCCTGAGGCTAAGGTATCAATTTGGACAGATAACCTGGGGCCCTGTCCTGACAACAGGAACATCTAAGACCATTTCCCCCTCAAGGTTGTCCTCCTCTGGCACTGAGCGCCAGATGTTTCCAAACTTCCCAGCAGAACCGGTCCAATGCTTGTTTTCTATTTCCTACTCCTGTCTCTTCTCCCTGCCTTCTCTGCCTTTCTCTCTGTAAATGCTGCCCGCCACACTTGGGTACCAGGATGAGAAGCAGTCAGCCACCACTCTCCTGGTGGGACCTCGTCATGGCATCAGCCATGTTATTGACCTCAAAACCAACCTTACCACTGTGCTGTCTGAGTTCAGCAAGATCAGCAAGATCCAGCTGTTCCGGGAGAACCAGGGAGTGGCCCGAGTGGAAACCAGCATCATGGATGCTAAGGTAAGCCTGGCTTTAGGACTACTTCTCCCGAAGGACAGGCCTTGGGAACAAAGGAAGAAATAACCTTGAAAAAGAGAGTTGGGCCTGTCAGGTGAGGTTATTCTGAAGTGGTTCCGATCATGAACCCATTTGGGCTCATCTTTCTTGTCCTTCTCAAACCTGTGGGACATGCTATCTTGACCACATATTAAGCTCAGTCAGTGCTAGGGAAAGCTAGGGAGTGTCCAATCAACCCATAAGAGGTCTTTAGCAGTGGGAAGGGGAACTGGAGAACTTGGAGCTACCTCCAGGCCACCACTCCCCAATCTTGTGTCATAGCACAGATAGGAAATTACATTCATGTAGAATAGTGGGATAAATGTACCCCAGAAACTCTGGGCACCCCAGGTCCTGTCTGACTGTTCCAAAGCCTGAAGGGATATATGTATACCAGTTGGAGAGCCCTACCACAGGCACACACACTTGGAATCATGCAGGAGGGAATGTCTGAGTATGTAAAAGAGATCTAAGGGGGCTTGGGGAGATAGCAAGTAGAACCTGGTCCCCATTTCACCTCCCAGAGTCCACCTCTTCAAGAACCTTACAGCCTTTCTCATCAATGAGCTCATTTAGACTACCAAGCAGCTGGTACCTGTGCAGAGTCAGGCAGCCTTGGTCTGCCATGGCTCTCCTGTTTGAACACTCCGTGACCATTATGCATGGGGGCAGGCCTGCCTGCCATCTGGTGAAAGGTATTAGAGACGGGGCAACTTTCCTTCCTTAAAGGATTTCCCAAGGGGAGATGTTTTAGCAGATTAAGAAGTGGAGCATTTGCTGTTTCTAAGAGAACTATTTTTGTCTTTTTTAAACCCAGAATGCTTTACATGTTAATTTTTCCACCTGCAATTCACATGAATGCCATTGGTTTATGAATGTGCCTGGAGCTAATATTTAATTGGCTTGTGGGCACTTCCTTAACTAATAATTGATTCCCTGCTCATATGTTGTTGAGTGAAAAGCCAAATGAGCAGGTAGGGAAGTGGGTGGAAAAACAGGACGTGCAGGAGAGATGTGGCTTCCTGAGAAATAAAGCAGAGAAACAGGACTTCTGGGCAAGATGGTAGTGTAGGTAAATGCAATACTTTCCTCCTCCTACAACCACATCAAAATTACAACTAAACCACAGAATAACCATCATTCAGAACCACCTGAGATCTGGCTGAATGGAAGTCCTATAACTAGGAAATTAAAGAAGAATCCACATCAAGACTGGCAGAAGGGACAGAGATACAGAATAATCTGGTCCCATACCCATGTATGACAGGTAAAAATTGGGAAGGTTATCTCAGCTGCAGAGGTCCCTCTGAGGAGTGAAGGGTTCCAGCCCCATACCAGGCCCCCCAACCCAGTACCAGGAAGAGAAGTCTCCATAACTTCTGGCTGTAAAAACAAGTGAGGATTAAGGCTGAAAGAGGGCTTGTAGAGTCCCAGGCTATTCCTCTTAAAGGGCCCATGCATGGGCTTACTCAGACTCATTCGCTCTGAGCTCCAGCACTGGGGCAGCATCTTGAAAGGCACCAGAGACATATGGAGAGGAATTGAATTGTCTGACATCAGGGTAAGAGCTAAGGGGACACCTTTCTCCCAGTCAGAAGAACTGGCAGAGGCCATTGTTCCTTTGATGAGCCCTCTCTCAGCAGAGCTGGCAGGTGGGTGTCATATCTGAGTCTCCATCAACCTGGCTCACACTGTTTGCCTGACCCTGGTGATTTGTGGATGCCCTGTTTCACTCAGCTTTCAGGCCCACCCAAGCTGTTTCCATTCACTTTTCCATACAAATGGTCTGTCTTGGCTCATGCTTCAGATTTTCCTAAAATCTTTCAAACAAGCAGCATCTGGCCTCAATGTTCCCAGTGCCTCTCGCTAAGTGGCCCCAGGCTTAGTAATATTAGCATCCAGCCTTAGTTTGCAGGTTGGCCTCACCTAGGCACCTCCAAGCCCAGCACAGCTACCAGCCATCTGCATTCATTTTGTAGCTCATGACCAGTGGCCCTGTGCTGACCACTGACCTTCACTGGCACCTCCCAGGGCGCCCCAGAGCCAACACACCCAGTGGACAGCTTCAGGCCATGTTGAAGCATCACCACCCAACCACCTCCACAAATGACACACTCAAGGGGCATACTCAGATGGCACCAGAGCCCTGCTGAAGTAAGTCCTGCTCTGTGTGGTGGGACCTTGCACAGCTGATCCTCCATGGTAGTCAGTGGACTCATTGGTGCTTGAAGCCAGTCCTTGCTGCTGACTGGCCTGGGGGTAAATACCTCCCGTTGACGTGCCAATAGCAACCAACTATAAGAGGAAGGTGTGAATAGCCCACACAGCAGGGCATACCTTGAGTGCCTAGCTTGGGTGATCAGGAAAGCTGTGACACTGGACCCTACAGGACATCTACCATACTAGGCTACTCTACCAAGCCCAGAAGACATAGCAGCTCTACCAATTATATAGAAACAAACACAAGAGAGGCTGCCAAAATGAGCAGACAAAGAAACATGTCATAAATGAAAGAACAAAACAAAGCTCTAAAAGAACTAAACAAAATGGAGACAAGCAATCTACTAGATGCAGAGTTCAAAACACTGGTTATAGGGATGTTCAATAAACTTAGAACCTCAACAGCATGAAAAAGGACCAGTCAGAAATGAAGGACACAATAAGAAATGAAAAATAACTTACAGAGAATCAACAGTAGAGTAGATTGATCTGAGAATCAAATCACCAATTTCAAATATAAGGAAGCAAAAAATACCGAACCAGAACATCAAAAAAGAAAAAAAAAATCCATAAAAAATGAAAGTAGTGTAAGGAGCCTCTGGGACAACTTCAAGCATGCTAACATTCACTTCATGGGGGTTTCAGAAAGAAAAGAGAGCAAGAAATTGAAAGTGTATTTGAAAAAGTAATTAGAGAAAACCTCCCTAACTTGGTGAAGAAAATAGACATACAAGTCCAGGAAGCACAGAGAATCCCAAGCAAGATGAACCCAAAGAGGCCCACACCAAGTCACATCATAATTAAAATGCTAAAGGTTAAATACAAAGAGAGAATCTTAAAAGCAGCAAGAGAAAAGCAGTTAGTTACCTACAAGGGAGCCCTGATAAGACTGTAAAGTTGATTTTTCAATACAAACTTTGCAGGTCAGGAGGGAGTGGCAAGAAGTACTCAAAGTGATGGAAAGCAAGGCTCTACAACTGAGATTACTTTACCCAGCAAAACTATCATTTTAGAATTGCAGGACAGATAAAGAGCTTCCCTGATAAGAAAAACATAAAGGAGTTCATCACCACCAAACCAGAATTATATGAAATGCTAAAGGGTTTTCTTTAAGAAGAAGGGGAAAAAGATAAAAATATGAACAATAAAATGACAATAAATATATGTCTATCAACAATTAAGTCTAAAAAAAAAACAAAAATAAGTGAACAAGAACAGAAACAGACTCATAGAGAACATTTTGATGGTTGTCAGATAGGAGGGGGCCTTGGGGGATAGGTGAAAAAGGTGAAGGAATTTGGAAGTACAAATTGATAGTTACAGAATAGTCATGGGGATATAAGGTACAGCATAGGGAAAATAGTCAATAATATTATAATAATTATGTGTGGTGTCAAATGGGTACAAGATTTATTGAGATGATCACTTAGTAAGTTATGTAATGTCTAAGCACTGGGGTGAACACCTGAAACTAATAAAATAATGTATGTTAGCTGTAATTGAAAAATAAAAATGATTTAAAATTGAAAATAAAACAGAGAAACAGCTTCACAACAGAATCTTCTTTGTTCTACAAGTGATTCTCAACATTGGTTGTACAATAGAATTTACTTGAGAGCTTTATATAAATACAGATACCTGGGTCCTAGTCCCAGTGATTGTGGTTTAATTGATTGGGGTGCAGCCTTAGCATCAGGTTTTATTTATTTTTCAGTTCCCAGGGTGATTCTGCAGTATAGCCAGGTTTGAGAACCACTCACCTCTGGGTCCAGAGCTCTGGGAGGAACCAGGCCAAGCAGGGTCAGTGGGGTATTTCCTGGGTGAGGAGCAATAATCTCATTTATAGAAGTGATCCAGACACAGCTGTGGGCATGAATGCTGCCCTGGAGTGGCTACACTCTTATTGGGGACACCTAGACTCACAAAGACACATGACTTACTTTAATAAAACAATATTAGAAATTCCTTTGTCAAATATTAATTGACCATAGAGACTTGGGCTTATTTCTGGGCTCTCAGTTCTGTTCCATTGGTCTATGTGCCTGTTTTTATACCAGTACCAGGCTGTTTTGATTACAGTGGCCTTGTAGTATAGTTTAGTGTCGGGTATTGTGATCCCTCCTACTTTACTCTTCTTTCTCAAAATTGCAGCAGCTATTCGGGGTCGTTTATAATTCCATATAAATTTTTGAAGTGTTTGTTCTATGTCTGTGAAATATGCCATTGGTACTTTAATGGGAATTGCATTGAATGTGTAAATTGCTTTGGGTAGTATGGACATTTTGATGATATTAATTCTTCCAATCCATGAACACGGTATATGTTTCCATTTGTTTGTGTCTCCCTTGATTTCTTTCTTCAGTGTTGTGTAGTTTTCTGCATACAGGTCTTTTACCTCTTTGGTTAGGTTTATTCCTAGATATTTTATTTTTCTTTTTGCTATTTCAAATGGGATTTTTTCCTGGATCTCTGATATGATCTCACCTTTAACAGGAACCTAAATAACAAAACAAAGAAACAAGCAAAATATAACCAAAGACACTGAAATAGAGGCCAGGCTGATAGTGCCCACAGAAGAGAGTAGAGGGAATTTAAGGGGACAGTGGGAAGGGTTCACAGGAACAAACTTAAAGGACACATGGTCATAAACTAAGGGGAGGGTGGTAATGGGAGGGAAGTGGGGAGGGGTGGGAGGAGGGACTGGACTGGGAGTAAAAAGGAGAAAACTGTATATGAACAATGAT